GTTTATAAATCTGCATTGTTAATTATCAAAAAACTATTCAAAATACTTAAATGAATCTTATAGACCATCCGTAAAGTGTTTTTTTAAATTGATTTCATACACATATCTATTAAGCATACATAAAAATAAAAATGCCACCTTCTTCCAAAGGAAAAAGAAAAGCCAGAAATTAGAATAGAAATGGTGAAAGTCGATATTGTAATCCCAAAAAAGTTCTTCACACCTCAGTAATTTTAACTGATCAAGAAAATCTGGAAGATGAATTTGGTGAACTATATAATAGTGACAGAGAAGGTGAGTTGGATGTTAATGATAGAAAAGAAAGTAAAGATGATGGTTGGAATAAATATGATGAATTAAATATTAGTGATTTAGAGTGGGGGGATGAGGAAGATAGTGGATGGGATGATGCTGAGAATATTGAAACTGAATTTAAAGAACTCAACTTAATATAGAAAAATGACAGCTAATTAGAAAAAATAAAACGAGGTCTATATATGAAAGGCAGGACACCAAAGTCAACTTATTATGATAAGTATGGGCCAAATGGTATTTTTACTAAAGCAGCAGTTGGTACCAAAAAAATTACTAGTTTTTTTAATAACATCGAGACACAAGTTACAAATCTACAGCCTAACGAGTTAGATAAGGTCTCAAGCGATTCAGAAAGTAAAACTGACTTATATGTCTATAAAATAAATAAAAGTGTGAAAGATTTAAAAAAACAATTAGAACAAAATCATGGTACATTAACAGTTAAAGAATATAATTATAAAAGAGCTATTTTTGAATATCTTAGTTTGTTGAGTAATAATAATGGTCATGGCAAAATTAAAGCTAATTTGGAGGTTGCGCAAAAGGTCTTTATCGATGGTAGTGTGTGGAAAGCGTGAACAATTCGATATTTTACAGAATATTGGTTACTTAATGATAAGCTTCCGTCATCTAGACATGGAAAATATCAAAAAACAATTAGGATAATCGATGATGAAGATATTGAAATCAAATGCCATATTTGGATTAAAAGCTAAAATTTCAAAATTACACTTGCTACATTTAAAAAATTTATCGAAAATGAGTTGTTTCCTAGTATTGGAATTTTGAAAAAAAAACTGTTAGTTTAAAAACTGCAGGTAGATGGCTCAAGGTTCTTGGCTATTCATTCCAATGACATCATCAAGGTATATACTATGACGGTTATGAAAGAGAAGATGTTTTAGAATATAGGAAAACTTTTTTAGAAAAAATATTTGAACATGAAAAGTATATGTCAAAATATGAAGGCGAGTTTATGAAAAGGATACGTCTTATTTTACCTCAAGGAGAAAAAGAAAGAGTTCTTGTAATACATGACGAATGTATATTTTATTCAAATGATGGTAAACGGGGTGTATGGACTAAAGACGGGAGAATGCCACTACGAAAAAAAGAAAATGGAAGATCGATCATGATTAGTGAATTTCTTACTGAAGTTGATAGACGTTTATACTTACAACAATTTGATATAGAAAGATACTCTAATATACCTAAAGAAGCAAGATGTTACTTGATATTTGGCACAAATCAAGAAGGTTACTGGACTACAAAACACCCTCTTGAACAAATTAAATATAAGGCAATTCCCATTTTTGAGATATTATATCCTGATTGTATAGCTGTATTTGCTTTCGACAATAGTTCTAATCATAGTGCATTTAGTGAAGACACTTTAATTGCAAGTAGGATGAATTTAGGCCCAGGTGGAAAGCAATTAATTATGCATGATACTTATTTTGAAGAAAATAATCAATTACAATCGATGGTATTTCCAGAAACAGATTCAGATGTGAAGTTATACGAGGAACTATATAGTGAATTAGATAAAGAGCTTCAAGGCAAACCTAAAGGTATCAAACAAGTACTAACAGAACGAGGAAAATGGCTATCTGAAGGGTTAGTTTTAGACTTTAAAAAGTGTAAAGAAAAGATCAAAGATACTTCAAGAGTTTCTTGCTATGCACGCCGTGTATTATCTCTAGAACCTGACTTTCTTGCTCAAAAAAATGCAATTGAAGAACTAATTGAAGGCGCGGGACATAAATGCATCTTTTTTTCCAAATTTCACTATGAGTTAAACTTTATCGAAAGATATTGGGGGCTGCTAAAAGGCATGCACATGAGAATTGTAATTATTTATGGCAAGGGTTACAAAAAACTGTGCCAGAAAGTCTTGAATCGGTGTCTTTAATAACTATTAGAAAATTTTCAAGAAAATGCTGGCATTATATGGATCTTTATAGAAATGGTCTTAGTGAAAAACTAGTAGAATATGCAGTAAAGAAGTATAAAACTCACAGAAGAATCCCGGATAGTATTTATGAAAAGTTGGATAAATTAGACAATATCTAAACTTATAAAAAAGTAAAATCTATTTTTTGCTATCGTTATACTCATTAAATTTGTAATTAAAAAGCTGATCGTTAACAAGTTGGTTGAATCATTCGTCTAACTTTAAATATTAGTTACTTGATCTTTTTTTTGTATTAATCAATAAAGTTTGTAAATCTGTGATATTATTGCTTTGTAATTATTGAGCAATTAGTAAGATTGTTTTGCCTATTCGTATTCTTTATTATGGTATTAGTCTAGCTAAAGCTTATTACAGTATTATGATTTTGGCCAATAAAAATTATTACACATGACCAAAGATTGATATCCAACTTTCAGACTGATCTATATTCTTTGATGACTATAGATGACACGAACCATAATTGTAACAGATTAAAATAAAATCAGATTAAAATAAAGGAGGTTGATAAATCATACTACTAGTGCCAATACCATACTTATAATTTTAACCAATCAAATTTGTTAAATAAAAAAATACAATACACAATATAAATAAATATAAAAAAATTAATTTTTTAAAATTAAAGGAGTTTTTATTAAGTTAATGCTTGTTGGGCCTCTAAGTAAAGTTGTAGAGAAGGTTTTTCTGGTTCTACTGGTGGTTAGATTATTAAAATTGGCCTGGTAGATCCCAAGATATTTGAGGTTAAAGGCGCAAATATAGGGATATGCAAATTGGTAGTTACACAAAGTATTATAGTATTTAATGCTTTGTGTAACCACCAATTTGCAGATCCCTATATTCGCGCCTTTAACCATATAGGCTAACTTTCTTCTGATTGGTCAATTTTATTCAATTGAATTTATATAGTTTAAAGTACTTTTTCGATTTGAAAAAATTTACTAATATACAGTTACCAAAAAATGGTTTAAAACTGTTTAGAATACTTACAACAAGCTTCCTGCAAAATAATCCAAAAAGATCCACACAACAAAGTATACTTTACTTAGAAGCAACTTACAGTAATGGAGAATCAGCAATGCGTAATTAGTGTGTGTGCTAAAGCTCCTGGACAACGTATAAGAAAGATTACAGACTGGATCTTGGGAAGTGCTTAAGACAATCAAACTTTACCAGCATATTTGAAAGTCGATGATATAGTTTGTCAATGGTGTTATAATGGAATCATTGTTCACCCTTCAGTTGTGATAAAAGAGCATGCAAAGGCGACTTATAGTGTTCGATCTAGTGCTGATTTAGTGGAATCTGGAGAGATATCTTTTTCAAAAGCAATAGAAATCATGACTGAGATTTTATATAAACATGAAGTGATACAGAAATTGTCTGCATTTCAAAAATTTGAAGAATTTCGTGCTTACATGAAGGCAGAGAATGTACATCTGACAGCTTTTTTTGATGAACTTGTATTTTCAACCAATCTATTGAAAAAAAAGCCTGAGTCATGTCCCAAGATAATGTCCCAATTACTTTTTGTTGGTTATTTACTTTGTGGTTTATGTAACAAATTTATTATAAATTTAAAACGTGATTTAGCACTTTATCTTGATTCTACAGGTACAACAGATGCAACTATCAATGCACTGGCAAAACTTGGTATTACATCAACATCTCAAACAGTTTGGTGTAAAAAAAATGAAATTTCGAAGAACCACCTAGCCTTAATTAATGATGATTTAAATATTTTTCACGAAAGTGCCATGATTTTAAATGTAGATGATTATCACAATATATATACTAATAGGGTTCCAAAAGATGATGAAACATTAGCGGTAGTAAATATGGCAACAATTCTATTAAATCTAATAAGAAATGTGTTGCCAATTCTTATGAATTGTGATTATAGAAGCATTCACAATCCAAAGCTTGTGGATACGAATCTTATAAAAATAGAATTGGAAAATCAGTTCATGATATCGTTAGGAATGTTCTTCAATGAGCTATAGAAAAATCAGGTAAGTAATACCGAAGATGAAACTATAGAAGCGTTGACAGTGCACAGTTATGATCTCCACCTTAAGGAAAGAATCAATGATCGATCATTAATTGATATTGTGCTTGTCGACCTTGTAAAAAATAATTTGCATTCGGTTACTGAGTATTTAGAAAGTCTTGAAATTATTCAAAATGTGAATGCAATGAAAAAATACTTTGATTCGGGTTATATTATTCCTCTCATTGCAGATTGGCCTGGTCAAATTTTCGTAAGAACTGTGATTTCAAAATTTTTAAAATATGATCACAATTCTAACATACCTCCAAGTATTTTATCTTTTATTCCAATTATAGGCCTATTACACATTTTCTTGAATAGTCGCGAGCTTATTTATATACAATATCATCTATTTTTTTCTTCATTATACAATTATCTGTTTAATAAAACAAAAGGAATTGGAATTAATGTTTAGCCTTAGCGAATTAACTTGTTATTTGAAGTAATTCGCTGTGGTTGGCTTCAAGTTTCGGATACTATTTAAAAAAAATTTGGCCTCTGTGAAGATCTCAAATATCTAACACTAGTAGATTTGATGGATAATTTGGGTTCTCTTGTTCTTGATATATATGCAATCTTTTTTCACGCAGGTGAATGGCAGGAATATGAAGAATCAGTAATACGGGTTTGGGCACTTTTTTTATGTTTTAATTGTCACAATTATAATAAGGCACCACTAATATTTTTATCAGACACTTTATATTAGAGAAGTATTAACCATCCTATTTTAGATATTTTAAAAATGCATCTGCCAAAATTTTCTGATGCACCCGTTGAATTATTTCATAGTATTTTGAGACGAACTACTCAGAAGCATGATGTTGCAGAACAATTACGACGTCAAGCACATTTTATTAATTTTTTAAGATATAAAAAACATCTTAATGAATTAACAGAACATCAATCAACATGGAAAAGATATCTTTTGAACTATAGAGACTTGAGTAATTGCACGTGAAAAGCAGCATGTTTTTTGTTAGAACGTTTTATTAATATTTACAATCGAATTGCTACAGACGGTGTAATGGGTCTAAGCTTAAACAAACCAGAAATGTCGACGAAAGGAAAAAAAAAAAGAAAAATAGTAAATGATTCTAATATATCGATGCCGGCCATTGGAATTGTTGCAGATACTTGCCATCTTCCCTTGGGTTTTAGTACTTTACAAACCTAATCAATTGATTCTGTGTGATTATTCACTCTGTACTAAAGCTGATATACATATATATACTAACCTATTATC